TGCAAATTTCGTGTTATTTAAAGTAATGTTTATCGATTGTATATTTTTATAATTTTTTCATATTGTGTTGTGCTTGTTATTTCATCTTTGAAATATTTTCCTATAAATTATATTTATTTCTTTATGGAGGAATAATTTTATTCCCATATGGTGGAATAAGTTTATTTCTATATGGTTTGATGGTCTAGAATAGATGGCATTATATTTAGGCCAAAAAATTACACTGTCACACTTAGAAATCAGGGCTGGTAGGTTGGCTATATCCCATTTTATAGGGTTAATTCTTCTATTTATTGTCAACCATCACTCATCCCATACATTTATTTTATTTTTAAAACATTGCATACAACTTTAGGAACAAAGGAAGTGATTTACCAGATAGCAAGTCCCTATGAAGTAGTAATTTTTTCACAAGAGAAAAAAACATACACACAAGATTTTCTACATAGTTACGTCCGGGCACTCACCGAGCCTGATGGTCGTCGTTCATATGTTTCTATGGATAATGCAACAACGCGCATGCAACAGATTATTTTTAATGATGATCAGCTTAGACTGTCATCGATAACCAGCAGATGGCGTCGTGCCATCTAGCGCTCACAGGGGTTGGAGTTGGATTTGTTGGATTGAGTGCTTAAATCTTATTATGAGGTTTAGGGAGTAGAGTTGCTTTTTGATTTTGAGAAAAAAAATCCTGTTACCATGATAGGAATTGAACACAAGCCCATGCGATTGGAAGGAAAGCGTTTAAACCACTGAACTATTAAACTCAGTCCATTAGTATAGTAACCACAGAACAAAGATATTATTATTATTTAAATTGAAACCAATTTAATTTAATATCTACTATTTGGTGATTGGCGGTAATTATCTTTTACCGTATATAAAGCCTCAAATATTTTATCATGATAATTTTATGAATATTGAAAAATGTCTAATAATTGCAGTCAAATGCTATTTTGTTTTCACAATAGAAAAAATTTACATTATAAAAAGTTTATCATGACAAGGAAAAATTAATACAACCTACAAAATATTCAAGTAACCAGTATGAATAAATTAATATTTAAAAAATTTATCTACCTTTACAGCGTCTACTTTTTAACTGAATCACGTTTCTTTAATACAGGTCTCACTCCATACATACCAGGTAAAGTCCACTTTAGGGACTAATAATGTTTTCATGTCTTTAACAACTTTGGTCTTTAATTAGAAAAATATAAATTTATAAAGATAAAAGATATGTGTTCATCTGGGGCCACATAAAAGTTGTTTTTAATTGGAGGTTGTCTTTAATTAGAGTGGGTCTTAAACTAGATTTATTTATATGTTTCATATTGTTTTATTGACTGAGGTATGTAATGTACCTTAACATAATTATATAGAACGCTATGAAATACCAAAATATTTTTAAAGCCAGGCTTATGGAGGAAAAAAAAAATTGTTTGATATGTTGTGCATCTGATTTTTCTATGACAAAATATATGTATGAAAAAAAGCGTAAACTCCCCTTTTTTCCACTGTTTCCTAAGTTTTTAAATATTCAAACGTCTGTATGTCATTAACCGTTCCTGAGTTCTTCTTCTGTGAATAAGCTATGCTGTCGTTCTTGTTTTCTGAAAAAGCACTCTTCCGAATAAAAATATTAACATAAAGTACTCTTAGTCTTAGATATAGTGCTATATAAATACCGAAATATTATTAATAATATTATTGAACTAAATATGTTGCTATCCCTGTTTTCTCAAAAAGCACTCTTTCGAATAAAAATATTTTGAGAAGTATTTTTTCATTTCCTTACATTTAAAAAAAAAGATAACTGGTGTGTGGCTTATATACATGACAATTCCATACCATTGCTTGTAGTCAATATGATAATGTATGGGAAGCTTATTGCCAAATGATTTGTAATGCCCACTGGCTTGTTGTAAATGATGCTACCAATGCTTTTCAGTACAGTACAAATAACAATATTGTTTATGTACACTAAGTACTGAAAGTGATCAGATTTTGGTTGGTTGATATTCTTTTTTTATTTCTCAATTTCTTTACCAACCATCACTAATACCCTATGTATTTTGGTTAGTGAAGAAAATGTATCAAATTACTATGTTATAAATTAGAGTTTTTAATGACCTTTTAAACTGTCATATAAGAATTTTAGATTACAAAAAAAAAACAAAAACAAAACGAAACAAAAAAAAACAGTATTTTTGTCCAAATAAATGTGCCAACCAAACATTTGTGATATTTTCTGTAAGTTGGTCTTGTGCAAGCAAGTTGGTGTTTCATTTTGAGTATTGTCTTTTAAAAGACATTCAATCTTTATGCATTTTTTTAAAAGTTTTTAATTATCTTTACCAGTACCTCAATTTCGATGATGCAGTAAATAATTAATTGCTTTTTAGAATTAAATATAGCAATGTCAAATTGATAAAAAATCTTTAAATACTTTAAGTAAATCAATATTGTTTATAGTTTTAACAAGTATTATTTTTTAAAATAGAGCTTTATTTTACTATACAGTATGTAAAATTATAATTAATCTTTTAATTTCCTGTTTCTATATATTTTTTTCGTAATGGTGAATGGAAATGTTCGGATTCAATTTAATTTTTCCATGCATCGTAGTGCATGATAAGGCTTATTCAGATTGCATTTTCTTCACTCAGTTAATGGCAAGAGGGAATGACATCTACATAATAACTTCATGTTAATTTAAATGAGTATGCACATATGTTTGAACTATGGTTGGTGATGATGACTGCAGATACAGTATATTCACACTCTTATTCAAGACACCTGATTCCAAGACACCCCTCTAATTTTAAGACGCCTAAAACCACTTTTTCAAAGTACCAATTCTAACAATCTTGAATCTTCTGAAACTGCAGTAGTCATCTATTATTATTATGTTTTTTTGTTTTCTCAGTCACAGTACATTGAGATCATGTACTGTATTATGCACTCCACAAGGCCTGGTCATTACTGTACCATACCATTAATAACCTTATCATCTAATAATAAATTTTGGAAACCAACACTTCAAATTTTTAGACCACCCCACATTTTCAGATTTCACAGGTGGTCTCATATTGGAGGGTACACTCTCTGTATATACCCAAAAAGTAAGATTATTAATGATAATGACATCTGATAAATATTCATGTTTATTTTAAAGAAATGTTAATGTTTACCAGTAGTTTGAAATTGATACAGTATTTTATGCGGTATATCAATATTCCACATTTTTTTTAAAATTACAGTTATTAAAGTAATTATGATGACTTGTGTACAGCTTTGATTAGTACTACAGTAACTATGCGTATGCCTGTCTCTTATACACATCTAGATGTGTATAAGAGACAGGCTTTTCAGTACAGTACAAATAACAATATTGTTTATGTACACTGAAAGTGATCGGATTTTGGTTGGTTGATATTCTTTTTTTATTTCTCAATTTCTTTACCAACCATCACTAATACTCTATGTATTTTGGTTAGTGAAGAAAATGTATCAAATTACTATGTTATAAATTAGAGTTTTTAATGACCTTTTAAATTGTCATATAAGAATTTTAGATTACAAAAAAAAAAAAAAAAAAAAGAAACAACATTGAGATCATGTACTGTATTATGCACTCCACAAGGCCTGGTCATTACTGTACCATACCATTAATAACCTTATCATCTAATAATAAATTTTGAAAACCAACACTTCAAATTTTTAGACCACCCTACATTTTCAGATTTCACAGGTGGTCTCATATTGGAGGGTACACTCTCTGTATATACCCAAAAAGTAAGATTATTAATGATAATGACATCTGATAAATATTCATGTTTATTTTAAAGAAATGTTAATGTTTACCAGTAGTTTGAAATTGATACAGTATTTTATGCGGTATATCAATATTCCACATTTTTTTTAAAATTACAGTTATTAAAGTAATTATGATGACTTGTGTACAGCTTTGATTAGTACTACAGTAACTATGCGTATGCAAAATGCATTAAAATTTTTAATTCCATATGTTCTGCTTTATGTATCAACATGTAAGAAAGTCGTAGCTTGTGGGTTAAGGTAGGGCCTACTTGCCTTCTAATGAGATGGTTATGGTGTCAGATATTCCACAAAAGCAAAGGTCCTAACTAACAGTAAGCCTATATTCAGTGGAACCTTGAAGCCCAGTCAGACAGATAAACCCCTCCTATATCGCCAAACATTTTTTTTCTTTACAAATTTATCCTGCATGTAGTACCGGCTAAAATAGAACAGTTTTTTAAAATGGCCTTAAATTACCCAGTTCATGTAGGCGCCAGAGGGCATCCTCCAGAGCCAACCCAGGCTTCGTCACTACTGTAGATCCAAAGTAATAACTGTAGCAGTAGTGTAGTTTTTTTTATATAAATAATGAAATATGTATACTATTACCTTTATTAATGTATGTTATTCAAAAGGAAACCGATGTTTAGAGATTGATTCAGTTTACAAAAAGTGCTTATAATCTTAAAAAATTGTTTTCCCCTGAGGCTTGGTTTGCTTCTATTCTCCTCCCCTCTTTTGAGGCTAGGCTTTCGTGCTCTGCTATTGTAAAACATATTCCCACCCTTTGATGAGTCACTGGCTGTCAGTTGTGAATAAAAACAATGCATAATAATAATAATTTCAAGAAACTATTCTATAGAGTAATATCATGAGCTGATGTACTGTGGGACAGTATGTGAACATAAGGCACATCTTCAGTCAGTTATTAAAATAGATGTAAGTGAGGCTTTAATGGTGCATAATTAGTAAGTCATGAACGCAAAAAAGAAAAAAAAAAATGATGTTTAAATTCCATGAGACATGAATGTAGTCTGAGCATGAACTATGCAAGCCTACAGTATGAGTCACTGTAAATTAGTTGATGTTTTATCATCAGCCAGTGAAAAATAGGGATCACATGATAAAAAGAGCATGGATGTTAAACTCTCGTTTTTATTCTTATATTTCCACAGGGCTTTGGTGCAATACGAAATGAAGAGGAACCCCCACCTTATTCTCCCCCTTCTCCAAACAGTCCCTTTATACAGGTAATTACCTTTTATATGTATTTATTGATATCATGAACATGATGGTATTAACATATTTTTCCCCATGATCTCCCCAATCATCTGGGGATAAACAGTATTTCTATAACGAATACTGCAGTGGCAACGAAGATCAATGTTGATAGATGATGATGTAATGAATTGGTTATTAATAATGATATTGATAGTTATGATAAAGATCGTGGTTATTAATAATAGTCATTATTACAATTGATACTGTTGATTGTTATGATGGTAATTGATATTATGAGTAATAGTACTTCATCTCTATAAAACTAAAATATTACTATACAGTTTTACCATAGTTTATTTATATCTTCCTTGGGGAACACCCACCATTATTTTAACATTTTGACGTGATTTCTTCATCTTCTTTAAAAACAGAATACTTCAACAATAATCACATGCTTAATATAATACAATAATAATATTACCTTTAGTTATATTTTTTAATAATTAATTTTATATATTTTGATTGGAATGTTGTGAGTGTTGTACGAGTCGAATCTTCTCCTGCGCGAGAGTGTTCTTCTGTTATAAAAGAGAGAACCTATAAATGTTATCTTATCTCATCAACAGTAATAACAATATTAAAAAATACAAATTTCGTCTTTTGGTCAAAAGAATTTACACAAGATATTACTATTTTTAATTGTTGTGTTAGTGATAATTATTATTATTATTAATGGCATGGTGGTAGTGATTGCAGTTAGTAGGGAATCAATGAGTATATATACAGTATGTAGAAACAGAATCAACGATATTCCTTGTTTTTTATGGTAAGTAAATAATGAATCCCGGTACTATACACGTATGTCAAAATAGTCTGTATGTCTACTGTAAGTTGAGCATTGGTTGCCAGATCAAATAGAGCAGTTAATTTAGCCCATTGTTGTCAGGCTACATTGTTGCAGTAATATGTAGAGCCTGCCAATGTGAAAAATCGAATTGAATACTACCATACACAAACTTAAGAATTATAGGAAACATAGCAGGTGACAGTGGAGATGGCAGCGGTGATAATAATGTGATTTTAAGTAGACACTACTTTTACAATTACATGTGTTGCCAGATATGATGAAAATAAATGAAGAATTATACTATTTATATTTTTATGGAAAAAACATGCTCTGATTGAATATGGTACATTATGACACATTTTATCTCTTGAAATTATATAAATTACGTTAGGAATAAGATTGTCTGGCAGGATTTGATACTTCTTACTATTTCTGAAAAAATTTGGCCTGAGGTATCAAAAACATTATTATTTTATCATATGATATTATGATGATTTTTTTTAATGTTCAAGTATTTCAGGCTACTGATATGGTTCACACTTATTATTTCAGAGCAATTGTTTCACTCCTCCAGCACTTCCAATTGATATTTCAGGTTTTTGACTTGTTTAGTTGATCAGTAGTCAATATTAGAATTTGCTCTGAGTGGCTGCCCGTACTTTGTGAAATTACCACAAGTATCAAATCTTGACCTTTGTTTTTTAATTAATACCTAATGACCTTCTAATTTTGTTTTCATAATTTGCATTTATTTGTTGCTGACCTGAAGTAGATCAAGATGCTTTGTCTACTAACTACAAGAGGACCTGGACAGGTGGAGCTACTGTATGGAAGCTATCTTTCAAACATATTAATTTTTAATATGTTGGAGAAATTCATCTGGAATATCTCAGTATTCAAAAAAGAAATTAAACATAAATATTATTTTGTAATCCATACGCCTAAAAAGCAAACAATTACGATTAAATACAATCCAAACAGTTCTAAAAAATACAGACAGTTGAGATTTGAAGCATACTACACGGTGTACTAAAAGATAGATTAATTATTATTGTCAATTTGTCATGCACACCTTCAAAATATTGTTATCTGTCCCTGAAGGAATTGTATAGTTAAAGTACTGGTATCAGTTTACCGATAAATTTAAAGCATTGTTCAGTTATTTAATTGAAGTCCTATTTTTTTGCACATAAGCCCAGTAGAGTAGTTCAATAGATATAGATAAAATTTGTTAAAAATGTTTTTTTTTTACCAGACTATTAGATGTTATAGTATCATTCACATAATTATTCAATGAAAATATAAAATGTACTGGAGTTTCTTTTAGGTTCAAATTCATGGTGAAATTATATAATAATACCCTGTATAGTTTTTGGGAGGTTTTTTTTTTCACATATTAAGAAGTAATCAAATAATAGTGTTAACAGGAGAAATTTTAAATATTTTAATATTAATACTAAGAATGCTTTGCACTGTACATTAATATCAACATAATCATTTTTAGTTCCTATGCATGTAATGCAATAGGTACTATTGTAATCACTCTTCATTTTCCTTTGTTTTTTTATTGTGTGTAGTATGTGTGTGTGTGTGTAGACATTTATGCAAATGTGCATGCGTCAAAGAAAAGTTTTCCAACATTTTGTTTTACCTCGCGATGCGAGTTCGATGTGAAGTTTCTGCAGAGTTCAGTCAGGGCTCACGCTAACCGATCGGCAAGTCGGCATGGATGGAACTATTTTGGTTTTACGGCAAAAAAAAAAATCAACTGCTGTGGCATAGGTATTTTAAAGAAGGCCTAAAATTAAACAAAAAGGTTTTAATACTTGCTGAAATACATCGTTTTTTAGATCTCCATTTTTCACTAAGTCCATGCGACTTTTTTTCTGTTGTATACGTATGAGTAGTCATACGAAGGTACTATATCCCCGACAGTTGGCTGTGCAGCAATGTACCATTTGAATGCAAACTGAAAACAGGTGAAAATATAAAGGCAGCCGACTGTCGGGTACATAACGACTATCTAGCTTTCCACAAAAACATGAGGCCTAAGCTAGGCCTAGTTCAGTATTACTGCGATGCAAGGGTAGGCCTAGTTAGATCGTTCAATCAATCATATCGTGTTATCGTCTAATACAATTAAATAATGTGTGTAATATTTAAGAATGCACCACGTGGGTCGCTTTCTTTGTTATGCGGTTGTAGTGTAGTGTAGTTCACTAACTCCATGGGACGTTTTTTCTGTTGTATGAGTAGTCATATGAAGGTACTCCCCGACAGTTGGCTATGCAGCAATGTACCCTTTGAATGCAAATTGAAGACAAGAAGTGAAGATATAAAGGCAGCCGACTGTCGGGTACATAACGACTATCTAACGAGGGTGGTAGGTCGTTTAGTCAGTAATACCGTGTTATCGTCTAATACATTTTAATAATGTGTGTAAAATTTAAGAATGCACCACGTGGGTCGCTTCCTTTGTTATGCGGTAGTAGTATACATATATGTGTATACGCACGTGTATATATGTTTATGCGTGTATACGTATATATGTATACGTATATATATACGTGTATATATATATATATGCATGTATATATACATATATTTTTATATATATATGTATATATATATATATACACACACACACACACACACATATATATACTTTTTAAGTCATGTATCATGCATAGGAACGTTGACGCCTGCAAGGCTCTGGCTAAATATCTTCATCTTTCTATGCACATACAGTATTGTAACGTACCATATGTACAGTAAAGTAGAAAACCCAATTGAATGCACATCACAACTTTGCCACTACTAGTAACACTGTACTTCAATTTATTAGTTTTTTTCCTATCTCATTATAATGTAATTGCATGTGTGGTGTTTAATTGCCTTGTGACATGCAATTGTACAGCTTGCATTTTCAGACTGTTTTGATCTCATAGTCATTATGAAACTAGATTTTTCAATACTGTAATTTAATACTAGTCCGATATTAGAGAAGAAAGAAAAATTCCTTTGTTTTTGTTAGTGATTAAAATCCATGCGTTGCAAGAAAGTGTGTTAGTTGTTTTTCTAATTAATTTGACTCTATTTCCAATATGAATGAATCTTTTAGAAGAGTAGGTAATGCAGGGGCGGCGGAACTGGTACGGCAGGTACGGCGGAACCGGTTCAGCAGGTACGGCGGCTGCCGTACCAATATCTTGACTTGGTTGTTTTCAAATATAGGCTTATTTGTTGCCTAGATGATGAATGAAGAAAATGAATTAACGGAATTAATAACTTGATTGTTATTTCCGAGCATCTAGACATGTAAATTTTACAAAATTTTTCATGGTGGGGCTGAGGTTATTGAAGACTTTTGCGTCGTACCAATTATTAAATGCTTCCGCTGACCCTGTAATGTGATGCTGTAAGTTACCGGTATGGGTTATTATCCTACCTTGAACTTCTTACACGGATTTACTGTAGAATACTTTTATGTCGGCAGTTATAACTACAGACATAACTTTCAAAATGCTCAAATGTATTTCCAAGAAGCAAGAATATATACATTATTATCACTATCTGATACTTGCAACTACTAAAAGCATCACATTGTTATAGTATGAAACCAGTAATGGAGTATACTTTTCTTTCCTTGTCATAGATGGGTAAGAATATATGGGTTATAGATACTAATGGGGATAAATTGATTATGGTATTGATAATGAGAATAAAGATTATGATTATTTTTACCGGCAATTTATGCATATATAATAGCCAGATGATAAATACTTCAAGTAAAAGTTAATAATAATAATTAGAATTATTTCTTTTATTCTTTCAGACAAATATATTATCAGGCGACAAGCCCCTACCCCCAACACCTTCAAACATCCTTACCCCAGCGCCTTCAAACATCCTTATTGGTATGCCCAGCTCCCATCCAGGTGTCACAACTCCATACAAGAATTGGAATCCACCATTACTTGGAAACCTTCCAGATGATTTCCTCCGAATCATTCCAGCTAAAAAGCAACCAGTGAGTAGAACATGTTAAAGCAGAGGTCTCCACTGATGGAGATAGTGTTTTTATTATTTTTATTTTATTCAAAAAAATGTATTTTGCTGGGCTAACATGTTGCTGATCCTGGCGTCAATTATGATGTGAGAGTAAACTATAATAATGATCTATGAGACTCCATACAGTAGGAATGTTGGTCTATTATCCTTTCTTTATTTATCGTAGAGTCAGTTTCTAGGTAGATGAAACATTGGTTTCATTGGTGTTCATGAAGCAACTAAGTCCCTCTTTGTGGTTGCTACAGTTGCCATGGATCAAACCCGTATACGTAATTCAGCACAAATATGCTACGAGTTATTCCCCAACGTTTACCTTTAACGACTCGTTTGCAAATTTCAAAAATTGAAAAGATTTATGTCCTAATTTTCTATTGGATTGATTGTACAGTACTAATTTTTAATTCAGTCTGTTATGTTTTGAACATAAAAATACCACCATCATTAATAATTAATGTAATGAATTCTATCAACTGCTGCAATCAAGATGATAAACAAAGATAGATTGAATAACAATAGATGATGGTGTATTAGTTTTGATTTTCATTTTAATCTGTTTAAACAATTTACAAGCAAATAAAACAGGGTAAACAATCAAACCATATTTCTACAAGGTATATTCTTTTAGTTTATTGACCATTTACTAGTAATAAGATAAGATGTTAGGACCAGATTAGACAAAATTGATTTTCCTATGTATATACTGTAGAGCATTTATTTTTAATTGTATAGTATTTTGGTTTGGTTGACTTTTCACATGTTCAGTAGAAATGCTTTTTAAATGCATATTAAATTGTGTGTTTTGTTTTTTTTTGCACTACTGGTATTGCCATATGTTCTTAATGAATGGCTGTTTTTAATTACCGGTCGGTCAGTGAGTCTGAAATATCAGGCTACAGTATGCTTGCCAACTCATATGTTTGCCTAATCATAAACTTCCGAATCGTGTGCCAACAATTTTGTTATTTTAGCCAAGGACAAAATGGAAAAACTTCGCAAATTTTTTGGTGTTCGGCTCAAACGTCCAATCAGTTTGACGTAACCCACTCCCTGGGACATTAAAAACAGATACTCGTAAAGGGTGTTAACTCATGAACAAAATTGAAGTATAATTGTGTTCTGTTTTACTACAGCACAATAATAGAACAGCTGACTCCTGGCGCCAAGCAGAAGCGGCCCCCGCCACCATGCATTTTCCTTATTTTTATTCGAGACTCGAAAGTTACACCTCGTCTATTATTTTTCGAGGGGTGTTCTCATGTGTGAGAAAGAATAGGCAATTTGTCAGTTTATCCAGGTAAGTATCCACTCATAGACTACCAACATCACCATTGATTTGTGTAATTTAGAAAATCCAAATGTTTCACCTGACCCTCTGTATTATTTGTCAACATAATTTTGCGTCGCATCTCATACATTATAGTTTGAGAACCGCTGATCAGAAAACAAAAAGTATTGAAAAATAATTAAAATGCATTAAACTCTTGTTTTGGGATCTGTTTAGTTTTGTATATATAAATAATTTAAAATAAAACGGTCCGTCCAATGCGAGTGCCTGGGTTAAAAACTGTACCCTGGAAGGAACTGCGTGTAGGCCTACCATACTGAGAAGAATCGCACTATGGTAGATTATTGGCTATAGCCACTCGAAGAAATCAATTTATTGTGCTATAAGATTATCTCAGTGACATATATTACCTGTATATGCACTAACCAACCAGAGCCGAAGTTGAGATAAGTGCTCTAAACAAGAGATGATGGTTGAATACATTATCATTGCCAAACATGAAGTGTTTTTTGGCAATGTCCTGGGTAATGTTAGCTGTTCTTGGCCTGGTTTTAGAAAGATAATGCTTGGCCAATTTTGTTTCAAATGATGGCAGTTAAATGGTTCTGGTACAGTAAAAATGTGTTTGTTATTACCTGAAGTGCCTCTCCTTAATATATTATTGTATCCATCTCCATCTTAATATATCCTTTTTTTTTCTCTTTTGTGGCAACAGACCACATTTATTCATCAATATCATTATAAAGCAAAGTTCATACATTTACAATTGATGGTACTAAAAACATTGATTTTATACATTGATTTAGTTGTGGGTTAGCCTTTCATTATCCTAATATATCCTTATTGTACCCGGAATAGTTTGAGAATGTTAACAAATATTTGATTTTAAGTGGGGTTGGAAAAATGTGTGGATTAAAATTTATTCTACATCTGAAATATTGGTGTAAAAATGTCCATTGATGGAAGGCAATTTTAAATTTATTAGCCAGAAGTAAAACATGGCTAATGGCAGTTGACATAGATTTGCAGTTTAAAAGGGGTCTGTACAGTAGTTAAGACAATGAACTTTTAGGAGATCTGGATTAATGAGGTTTTTCAACATAACTAATTTTATTTTTCTCTGCATTATGATAACTAGCTTTACTTCAGAGACAATTGACATTATAGTAGTAAATTTATGTAAACATCATGCAAATAAATAATTTAGCCTTACCTTTTAGGCCTAATGTAACTTATTATAGAACAACATGCATTGTTTAATTTTCTCTTCTTTCTGTTGTACTTTTTCATAAGCTAATAATTAAAAAATTTGGCCTAAACTATATTTAATTTGATATTAAATTTTAAGCATACAATATTGTACATGATCTTTAATGTAATAAAATTTTTCACATTTTTGGCGGAGACGGCACTGCCAATGTTGATGCTAATTTAAGTATTAATCATATTATATATGAAGTGGGTAAGCATTTAATTAAATTCTTCAAAATGTTTTTTTGTTGCTTTTTATAGGAGTTGATTTCATCCACCCTACGGCAAAGGTTAGCTCAGAACAAAGAACGTCAAAACACGACAGATAAAGATGATGTTGAGGCGCTACAGATGTTGGAAGATGAAAGAGTTGCTCTTAGTCTTCAGAATCAAGAATTTTTACAGGAGCTTCAGCGTAATCCAGAATTTTTGTCAGCTTTAGAAAAAGGTAAATAAAAAATAACAGACTATAAATTTTCTGACAATACGGTAAGATGATACAATAACAATAAAACCTGCAACGTGTGAAAAGTTTGTGGTACACGTAGGTCTATGCTTGGTGTTCTCAATTACATTATGACACTGGCCAAGTTTGGTTATTGAATCAATTTAAAGGTCCAATGATCATGCAAATGCAATTTGCAAGCAGGCACAGTCTAAGCCTAAGTTTGTAAGGGGCTGTGGCCATGCCCACATAAAAAACGATTTGTTATTAATATGGAGTCAAAGGGTACAAAAGGGGATTTAATTATATTGGGTATTTTTGAACTATTTTACCCAAGTTCTTATCAGTATACCATATACCTCAGTCCCTCGACTGTGCCAGTGTCGGGGGTGGGGGGGAACATGAGGACCGAAGAAGCCGACAAGTTTCTCCATGCTGTTCTGTTGGCTGCTGTTGTAAGGTTTTTTCTGGGAAAGACAGTCCTGCCCATTTTCTTATGTTGTCACACCAGTTCATCAATATACCTGTCCGTAAACGTGGGTTGAGCCTGAACATGTTTTGTAATTTAGTTGTTAATGCTGCAATATTTCTTCCGATTTGATTAACTACAATTATCTAGTGAAGTATAGGCCAAGTCATCAAAAGCAATACAAAATTATGAAGGTTAGAGGCCTAATGTCCTAACAAAAATATTCATTTAGGCCAAATAACATGCACTCGCGGGCTGGAATTTGCCAGTGGGCCACCGTTAAGAACCCTAATCTACAGTATGCAGTGCTTGTATTGCAGAACTGGGAGAAGTCAGGCTTTCATAACAACTGTCCATTGTGGATACCTGCATTGCTTGGCATATATAGCCGATACCATATTTAACCTGTTGATATTCCTCATTTCATAAGCTTTTGGTATGTTGGCTATTGCTAAAAATCATACGATCTGATTATCATTAATATCACACACATTTTTAAAACACAGATTCATCCTCATTCACCAGTGAATGTGTACCTCAAATAGAGAATGATATAAAATGATGTTTTTCATTAATGGTTTAATATTTCATATTTAAGGGAGCTTATGATTATTTATTTTGCAATAAAATTAATATATCATTGAAATATAATTATTGATTTCTGAAATATTATGATTTAAAAAGGGAATCTGGTTACTTTTTTTTTTATTATAGAAAAAGCTTCGCATAAGAAACAAAGTAACGTCACTAGATTACAAACCACAAACACTCACACATTTATTATTTTTTGCCTAGAATAAGTACCCTATATACTGTAGACGTGGAATGCTTGAGCTAATTAGCATTAAGTATAGAAGTTGTTCATGGATCATTTGGTGATTGGTGATTGGTCTTAATATAGGTGATGGTACCCATTAATTTTAATTACTATAATGATGTCACTTACTATTTATAGGGACTTTTCTTGGATCTAGGATTAAACTTTATATATCCAATGGTATGCTTGATCTTTGAATCCTTATGAAAATCCATCTGTCATTGAAAAATGATTGCGATGTAGAGTCGGTTAATTTAAGTGAATGATGTACGCCAATTTTTTTTCAATAGATCACTCTTCATATTTGGATCAAATATTTGTTATGCTTCAAACGAGGGAAAACATTGGGGGTGGGGGGTTGTCACTGCTATTTGTGATTTGAAAAAATTGAAATTGGAGTCTTTGATTTATTTAATTACTGATCCAGCCACATAGTGGCCCAAGCCACAGTGAAAAAAATATATATATGTAGTGATGAAATAATTTTGGGCTACTCTATAATTTTATACAATTTAGATAAAGTTAAACAGTCAAAATACCTAATAGGTCATAGTTTGTGGGGGCTTTGCCCTAGACCCCACAGTACCTGTCACTGTGATTTGGAGGCTGCCAGCTCCATGGTTCTGATAAACTCTTGGCAGTCCTGCTTATTTAATCACTTTGTTTATAATGCTTTAAGCATGCTTGCTATTAAATGTGAATGAATTTTTATAGATTTCACAGCCTAAATTTTTTTCTATTTTTATTCTTTAGATTATTCCAATGCAATAAGACAGGGTGCTGTTCAACCATTTTCACCATCACTAATGCAACCGGTAATGGGAATGCAAACATCACGCTATACTGAAGGCATTACTGGCGGAATGGGCACGCAGACGCCACAGGAAGGCAGTGCGGGAGTCTCTATAGCTGTAGGTGGAGCAGCGGCCGGAACAACTAATGATCCTGTTTTTGAAGCTAAATTATCACATATGGGAAAATGTAATAATCTTTGATTTTTAGATGAACACACTGTAGGCCACACAACTATTCTATTGACTAGCTTGTTTTACCTTATTTAGAATTGTTTTTTTAATTTGGTTACATATTTTGTTATTTTTTTTTTAATTTGGTTACATATTTTGTTATTTTTTTTTAAATTTCATGTTCTTTATTCATTTACTTGTTTTATCATATAAATTTATTGTTGTATTTCATTTATCTATTTATTTGATTTTATTATTTTTTATCTATTCATTCAATTGTATTGAAAAATTGAATTTAAGATTTCATAAATTAACACAAATTGCTTTGGTTGTGTTAGTGACGAATTTGTCAGGACGGACGTGTAGAAGATGACTAACAATATTGTTGTTGCTTCTTTTCCTGTTGCAGCAACAAAAGCAAAGCTAGCACAGCTGGCAAAGAAATTCAACAAGAAAAAGAAGAAGAGGAATTCTAGATATGGGTATACTTTGAATTTATTTAAGCTGTTTTAGATAATGATGATCATTTTAATAGATATTATTCAGTTTGTCAAAAAAATGTGCACATATTTATTATTTATACTGTATATAATTTCCCTTGGGAAGCTTGAAAAATATCCTCAAAACCCATCAAATTTTAAACTGCACAATTAAAAAGATTAAATAAATTATCATCTAGTGTGGGAGGTATATCAATTGGGTTTTTCCCCTTAATTACAGACTTCACAAAACTTGTTTCACAATCATTTAAAAGTGCATATTGCATAATATTAAGAAGAATTTGAGCATTGTACATTACAATGTACAACATACATTTGAAGCGCTTTTGGTAATACCATTGACATAGTGCCACTGAACATTGTGTTCTGCCGTGGATATTCGCACTATTCAAATCCTTGTTGATTGTTTTTTTTTTTTTTTTTTTAAGCCAAACTGAAACAGGTCCATCGTCTGATGGGCTGCTAGATGAGTATGCAGAGGATGATACTAGTTTGTTAACGCAACGTAGAGGCAGAGCCGAGGAAAATATTTACTCAGACTTACAGGTAAAGGCATGTAATATGCGTATTACTAATTGGAAATAGGGTACAATTGTGGGCAATGTTTCTAGCCCTTCGATTTTCTTCCATCTCACAACAACGTCAATTATAACTACCACAACAAAAAAGAAGTAAAAATAAATGTCAATAGTATATTCTACTTTACTCTTAGTCATGAATTGTTTGCTTTTTTCTTGCTACACTATGCATTCTAAATACTGCTACATATTTATGTCTGACTGCTACACTAATTTCTAGGTCTGTGCTGCACATAGTAGCACCTACCTGACAGCTTTGGCTGACTGTACTCCACGGCCCTCGCTGCAGTATCAGCCATTTAGTCAAGGGAATCTATGAGTTAAAGGCAGTACATAAACTGCTGTTTATCATTAAAATATGTTAGAACACCAATATTTCTTCAATATGTTCTTGAAAATGACATTCAATTATCTTAGTACCATTTGAAGAAGCATTCCATAGGCACAGGTCTATTGATTTCTCTTTCTTGACTCTATAATATACACCATTGTTTTCTCTTGCTTGAGTGTATGTGTTTCTTTCATTGCTACAATTGCCTTTGCTGTGCATTTTCAGTCATCTACTGTGAGAAAGAAGAGGGGTAATGAGGAGCCTATAGTATTCTACAGTGAGGATGACCAATTCCCATTGCACCGTGGTCCATAGTCTCACATCCACATTGACTCATAAAAGGTTTGTGAGACTGGGGAAGGGGTTAGTTGTTTGTTGGTGTGTTTAAGGGTATGCTCATCGGTCTGCTTGGGGGTCTGTTCATGGATCAGTTGTGGTTTTTGCTTGTTGTGTCCTCTTGTGTCTAAGTTTAGATCAGTATTTTTCTTCTGCACTCACTAAAGTATTATGTCTTGTCCCCTAGCAGATTATGGACCTAGCTGCTAATTATTATTGTATTTTATTATATAATAACAGTATTATTATTTTTATTATTGTTATTGTTATTATTATTATTATTATCATCATTATTAAAACCTCCCTTAACAGGAACTTAGACAATGGATAAATTAGAGAACAATTAAAAAAAAAACAACGTTAAGGGGAAAATAACATGACATAAAGGTGAAATAACACAAAAAGATATTCCCCTTAAGTCCGATTTAGTGAAATAATAATAATAGTAATAATAATAATAATAATAATGATAATAATTTCATTTTTTCTTTTTTTTTAATTAGATACGTTGCTGTATCATTTGATTTTTTTTTACTCTTGTTTTTACCTGAACCACTTTTGAGATCAGTACATTTATATTGAAAGGGGCATTTCACAATAAAGAATGAATAAATAAGTAATAGTTATGTAACTTTTCATATAGTTATTGATTCAATGATAGGAAGCAAGTAAAAACTATAATAATTTATTTTGTATTTTCCTTATATGATTACTAATACTACCACCTACCATCACCATTGTCAATACTATTGATAATGATTTGATCTACAGTACTAATAAAAGAAATTATCATATGGTCAAATAGTTTCATCTGGTTTTGTAACTGATAATCCAATTATTTTTAAATATTAAACCATTTTTTGATGTACTTATGCTAGCTTTCGTCTTGTCAACAAGACTTTGTCAGGCTGAATGAGCTAGACGTTTTGTTGTTTGTGAAACGTCATGAGTGTGACGCCTCCTATCGTCAGCTCGGGTTCTGTCGGATCCGGGGCCCCTGGCCTGTCAGGTTGTACAATTATATGTTGAAAACTTAGCTGCACTAAGTAAATAGTATTGTATTGATCTCATTCAATATAAAGACAAGCATTTAACAACCTGTTTCAGTGCACAATAATCAAATATTTGTTGGTGTTGCTAGAAATAGAAGAGCACACTGACAAGTCTGAGGATTCTATTTTAAGGACATAACAGATTTGCATTGGCAACATTTCGTTGACATCATCATCATAATTATTTATTTACATCATCATGATAAATATTATTTTCGTCATAATTACCATTTTTATCGTCGTCATCATGATAAACATTATTTTCATCATCTTCACCATAATTATAATTTTCATCATCATCCTTATCGTCATTATCGTTATTATCGTAAATATATTTTTCATCATAATTTTCATCATCATTATCATCATCATTATCATCATCATCATCATCATCGTCTTCATAACATCGTTAATATTATAATCATTTTCATCATCATTAATCAATAATAATAGTACCCTTATTATTGCCATCATTTTCAAGATCATCTTTGATCGTCTGATATCATAATCTAAATCAGTGGTTCCCAAACTTATTTTCTGATGACTCAAACTAATGTACAGGCACTTCTCTCAAAATATGTCATTAATTTTCACACAAAATTGAATAAAATGTTTAAATGATACTTATAATGGGCTCTATTTTCTACTCTAAAAATTAGCATGATATAGAATTAAATTTTTAAAAAATTAGAATGTCGCGACCCTCTATTTTGAGAATCAGCATGATCTTAATAATCATCACCAGGTTTAGCCACCATCGGTAATTTAAATTTACCACTTAATAATGAGACTTTCATACTCACAGTCCTTTAATTTACTTCAACAGACAGTGCGTAAACAGGTGAAAAGACCTGAAGAAGAACAATCCTTAACATCAGATGCCTAATTGACTGAGACACAACATTGAGGGATTCCGTTTATGATGGACATTTGGACAATCTAGTATCTACCGAACAACTGAAGATGAAGCACACTTGATATTTATCATCTCCAATCAGCTTATTTTCTTTTTGCTGAAGAGATTTATTTTGGATTATATTTGTAGAACTTTATATTTTATTGTAATTATAAAACATGTTATAAAATTTCAAGTTTGCTAACATACACATTAATAATTTGAATGTTGGACTTGAAAGAACATTGCTGGACAAATGAGAAAATTCCTTAGTTTAAAACTATATAACTGTTTTTTTTTTAAATGATTAGATGCTTTTAAAGATGTATTGTCCTATGCTAAATAACAAAAAAATCAATAAAAAAATATTTTTTGAAATTAACTTGCCCATTTTGAAGTAACATAAAAGTTATCAACTTGAACTTAGTAATTAGTGTATTTAAAAAATATCTACCCATTAGTTTACAGTGAAAAATAATAGAAACACTTCCAGTCATATCACTGGAAGTGTTTTATTACTTTTATTATATTTTTCTGGTTTAAAAATCAGGGTACACATTTTTTAAATTCAGTAATTTCTATGCACAAGTTAATAACTTGTATGTTATTGAAAAATGAGCAAGTTGGTTTCAAAATTAATTTTTATTATCTTTAAAATTATCAAGGGACAATTCATCTTTAACAATATTTTTAGGATGTAATCCAACACAATTTTAAATTATTCAATACATTTTAATTCAGAAATTTTTTGATTTTATGATAGTGCACTGTATATTGTAAGTCTTTCTTTGCATGTGATGTTTAAGTAATTGCTGTATCAACGAGGGCGCCTTAATTATGATCTTCTTGATGTTGCATCATAGAGTTGCATATGACATGGAATAAACCAACAGACTTTGTATTACTGTATTTATAATTTGCAGACTACTTGTATGTAAAGGTAAAGTAGGAGAATAACCCATAACTTGCAGCGTCATTGTGCTGAATTTCTTATGGGTGTGGTCCGTGACTACCTAGCAGCCGTAAAGAAGCGCTTCATGGTATGTGTGATGACATTGACTAAATACAATGTGGGTGTGGCCAGTGTCTGAAGCTGATTTTTATTTTTCCTGTAACTAAAATGTTGTTGGTCTCTGCTTTTCTACTGTGTTCTTTTGTCACTTTTGTGGGAGAAGTGTTTGGCCTTTTCCACAAGTAGTCCTTGGGGTTGGGAGGGGTCATATATCGCTTACGTAAAAACGTCATCCTTTAAATCTGTCACATAAAAAAAAACCTTCGTTACAGCCGTGGTACAGTAACTCCTTAAGCCCTGATTCTGTTCAGAATGCCACCAACAATAAGGTGATGAGGAGTGAAGATGGATTACTCGGTCGATGGTAGTAAGTACGTTGTACTCGCAGTATGTGCCTGGCATGATTGTTTGAGAGTTTGTGTCTTAATACTATGTATTTACATTCAGACTTAAATGTATTATGTTCTGTTTTATATAGGTGGTTAAGCAGTTATACCTTTGTATTAATACATAAAGCCAATTTATTTTTATAAAATATTGGCTATGTTAGGCTTATGATAGCTTAAATGTATTCTGCAACTAACATTCAATATATATATACATTAAACTTATTTATTACTTGAAGGCTAAGCCATTTTAATTGGTTTATAGCTGAGACAATGTCAATCTAAGTAACAACATTGTTTAGGGTAATGAAAGCTTGTATTCAGCAAATAACATTCAATAAATTATAACTTATTTTTTACTTGTATGATAGAAGATAAAAGCAACATTTATTGGGAAGGCTGAGTCAATTTTAAACACCTGTTGCTAAAAATTTTGTATTTGTGTAGTTACTTTTATTTTTAGTCCTATTAATAAAATGTATAATATGTATGTACCATTTTTCCTTCTATATTTAACATTTGCTTCTCAGCATTGCTTGCACTTTGGACATTGATAGGCTAAACTTTGCAGCTTGATTTTTTTTTATGTTGTACTCCCATAAGCTGACTTTATAGTCAGTGCTCACATTAGGATATAAATGTGGCTATGCAAGCCAATCACAGGATAGAGTGACCAGAGTGTTTACATTTCTATGGATGAATATGTAGCTCGTAGTGTTTTATGATGTGAGCTTGTGCAAGAACTACTTTAACTTTATTATTACCAAAAATATATCTCAGTTTATTTAAGAAGTTGAATATCCGGTGTATATAATGAAATTATAAATGTTAATTATATATATGGTATAATTGTACCATACAAAACCAAGTGTTAAACTATTAGGATAATAATAATTGTTAAAAGTTGGTTAATAACTTTCATCAATTATAAAATAAGTTTAGTTAAGTAAAGCATTTTCCTTATTTTGTTTCAAACCATACATATTGAACAATTAAATTATACAAATTTACTTCTAGTTTTCAAAAAGTTTATTAAATTTAGGTTTTGCTTAATTATTTTCATATTTTTCCATATTCATTAAATGTGATTATTTTAATGTATTACTTTTTCAAACTAATGTTTACCAATTGTATTTTTTGGTTTCCATTCCAACTCAAATTTATAAAAATTTAAATTAATATGCAGAACACTAATATAATATTTAGGAAATGCCCTCTAATATAATATTTAGGAAATGCTCGCAATTGCATAAATTTGTTTTACCTAAGCTTTAGCCAATGAGAACTACCAAATTCAGAGTTTTTATTTAAATTTTATGAATTGACCACCTTGATGTTATAATATTCTGTCATTGAAATATAATTCATATTATAATAAAAGATTAATATTATGATTACCGTAGAAATTAAAAATATATAACAAATATAAAAATATATTAATATTAATATATAATAAATATATATATATAAATAATATATATTAATATATATATATATTAATTATATATATATTATAAATAATTATTTATTTTTTATTTTTACTCATTCTTGTCAATGACTGGAACTTGTGTCTCTGTTGGTTTTGTTTATGGATAATTTTATTGTGCATTATGCAGTGAATGGGGTAGTATGCTGAAATGGGTTGTGTGTGAGACTACATACGTTTTAGGTAAGAATTATTAATTGTACATTCTCCAGTGAACAGGGAAGACATTTAACGTGGGAAATAGGCAGAATAAGAGAACTGTTGATGTTAAGAATTAAACGAAAACACTGTTAATGTGAAAAGATAGTGGGATACGACAAGTTCACTAGGAGGAAAAATCTTAAAATTATTCTTAATGAGGAAGTTGAAATAGAAGTGTAATAAACATCAACAAAATATATTGACGACATAAATTATGTATTGTAGTATACTGTATCCCAGTGAAACTGTTATGAAGACCAGATGCAAACTATAAGGTATAAGGTATTAAGTGTGCAGTGTACTGTATATTTGCTTGAGATTCAATTTTATTCATTCTGTGTAAATATTGTAACATTAGGGTCAATCTAATGCTGAAAGCTATTCAATTTCAATGTGTTTTTTTATATAGTGTTCATGGATGCTAGATGATAGTAGATTATTTTATTTATATTGGGAGAAAGAAATAAAATAGTATGGTATATCAAACAATGTTTTTGTTCTAGTTGTATGTTGTGTTCTTCAAGGCTTTTTCTTCGTTCAGCTATGCTGACATTTTTCATAACTTGCTTATCTATAGTAATCAGAGTGATTTTTGCAAAAATAATCCAGAATAATAAAGAGTATAAATAGGAGAAGAGAGCGTACTCTTGTTTGTTAAATCACCACTTCCTAGTGTAGGATGCCCTCAGCCATTTGTATGTTATTTTGCTTACTCATGTGCGTACTGAAGTACACCAACTATGAACTTGGTAAGTAGAAAACATTTAAAACTGTGAACGTACCATGCGGGTGAACATACAAACGACAGCGGGCGTCCTACACCGGCATGGTAGGGCGTATCGTTTGTTTATGCTCTCAATGAGCGTAGTTGGCTCTCTTGTAATCTTTCACGTTGTACTTGTAATTTTTCTAGAATAATTAGGGGCATTTGATGAGAAAATTGTTAAGACATATTTCTAATATTTAAAAACTAATAATATTTATGCTTTTACATTGTATGGGTAATGCAATACCTTACGAGAAGTGTCCAATAAGAAGAGAGCGTACTCTTGTTTGTTAAATCACCACTCCCTAGTGTAGGATGCCCTCGTGCATTTGTATGTTATTTTGCTTACTCAAGTACTGAAGTACACCCACTATGAACTTGGTAAGTAGAAAACAAAGGTAGAAAACTTTTAAAACTATGAACGTACCATGCGGGTGAACATACAAACGACAGCGGGCGTCCTACACCGGCATGGTAGAGCATATCGTTTGTTTACGCTCTCAATGAGCGTAATTGGCTCTCTTGTTCTCTTGTACTCTTTCATGTTGTACTTGTAATTTTTCTAGAATAATTAGGGGCATTTGATGAGAAAATTGTTAAGACATATTTCTAATATTTAAAAACTAATAATATTTATGCTTTTACATTGTATAGGTAATGCAATACCTTACGAGAAGTGTCCAATAAGTGATTAAGATGTAGTGAGTGGTAAATTACACAAGATGCTACAAAAAGACTTGCATCTTGATTGACCTGCTTAAATTGATGGTACAGTACTGCCTCCAGATATTACTGCCTCACAATGGTTCTGCCTCCAGATGGTCCTACTTGCTGGTTGTTGTACAATCTGATTGTTATACCTCAAAATGTGTGGTCCTGCCTTTTTTATGGTCCTGTTTGCTGATGAATGTCATGATGGTCATGTCTACTAATGGTTAGTAACTTCTGCTATAATACTTTCCATGTCCATGTGGACGTCATCTGTGACACCATTGTTGCGTCGCACTTTGTAATAATACATACCATACCGTATTTATAACCTGACTGACCGGAGGCCTAGTAGAAATAGAGCCATATCTAGTGGTATTGGAGGGTGACAAGTCCTAATTCAAAAGGGGTCCAAGTTGACATTTCTCGAATTATTTAATTTTATGTCCGACGATGGGGATATGGCTTTAATTCTACTAGGCCAAAGTCAGTCAGATCATCAATGTGTCATGTAGGAGGTCTCGTGTTCAAGTCTTGAGGGGGTCAAATTTGATTTGTTTGACTTATTTCATATTATGTCATCGTTACGTCGATGGGGATATCTTTTGAATCCCACTGGAACTCATCGATTAGAACTTACGAACATATGTCAAAGGTCCCGGGGTTCAAATCAAAAATATTTCAATTTTGTATATGAAGCTTATTAACGACATTTTTCAACGTGTCCCACATCATTATCAGGTAACAATGCTTATACTACTACTGGACGTAGGATTCCCGGAACGCCGCCTTCAGCGGCGTGTGCGAACACAACTCGGAATCAGAAGTGGAACATGAAA